ATTGTTTTCGTGACTCCTGGGTGCGCTGACATCGGATGGTCATGTGCCAGTTTCAGTATTTCATGCCGATAAGGTGGAGGGACCCACAGCTGGTTTTTACCCAACCATGGTTCGGCAGGTGAGGCATCCACCGGTACAGATCGACGAAAGAAGAGGTCGTTCTCGGAGAAATACTCCCCATCGTCAGCTGAGAGTGATTTTTCGACTATTGCTTTTAGTTCCGCGTCGACTTGTTGAGCTTTAATGATGTCTTCCTGAGATATCCTTAGGGGTAAGCCCAGGCTTGTGTTCTCTGGAAGCATAGACTCCAGTTTGGGAGTCGAATTTCTTGACGATGATGGTAGGTGTGGTCCAGACGTTGTGTCAGCCAATTGTTTGGTCTGGCTTCTTGTCACCACACATGCAGGATAAGTTCATTATCATTATCTTGAAATGTTGACAAAGGGTTTTGAACCGTATAGGGGTATACTTTGCTTCCCGCAAGGTCATTCCCTAGAAGCAGGTGTACTCCTGGGACAGGAATACTATCTATCACACCTAAAATGACTTCACCTTCGACGAGATGATGTTTCAGGGAAAACTTGTGTAGAGGGACCACGGTGGATTCTGCCCCCACTCCTTGGATAATGGAAACATTTCCGGTGTTCGTCTCCGGTGTAATGTCCATTGAGCTTTTCAAAAGAAGTGACTGTGACGCTCCTGTGTCTCTTAGGACGGTGATATTCCGCTGAGACAACGGATCACCTGGTTTGCTAATGACAGCCTCTGCAATGAAAGATGAAAAGTCAACCTTTCTCGATCCCTCGAGATCGGTAGACTCGGAAGAAACTGGATGGTGGCGTGAACAGTCAAAATGTGACTGAACGTAATGGGTGGAGACTTGATTTCCTTCCTGTGGACACTTAGGGTTAGTGTCATTCTGAAGACTAGAGTTCAGATTTGAACTGGCTGCTTGATGGATGAGAGCATTGTGCGCTGAGGTACGCACAACCTCTCTGTTAACTTGATGACGCTTATAGCAGTCCTTTAGAAAGTGACCAGGTCTCTTGCAGTATTGGCATACTGCTCGACGACTGAGAGTGGATCTGGGCTTCTCTCTGGACTGTAACGACTTCAAGGATTGGCCAACAGGGGGACTGTTGCCAAAAAGGGGAAGTACAGGATTGAGGCGTTTTCCTGACACTTGTGGTCTCTTATGAACCAACGTATACGTGTCAGCCGACTCAGCAGCCTTCTTGATGTCGACTATCCTATTATCCAGGATATGTAGACGGATGTCTTCAGGTAGGGAATTTAGGAATTCCTCCCTCAGAACAAGTGACTTGAGTTTCTCAAACTCTGAAACTTCCTCTGAATTTAGCCACCTTGAGAAAATTTTCTCTTTTTCGAAGAGAAATTCCACATAGGATTGAGTGGGTAGCTTGCGGAGTGTTCGGAATTTTATCCGATAGGCCTCTGGAGTCAATTCGTAGGCTTTCAAAATGGCAGTCTTGACCAGCCCATAGTTAGTTTGAACGTCTTGAGAGAGTGCCTGATATGTGTTTTCAGCTTTTCCTGTAAGAACCGTGCTCAATAAAGCAGTAATGGAAGTTTCGGGCCATTCACATGCCTTCGCTAAACTCTCGAATGAGTTAAAGAAGACAACCAAATCTATTTCATTAAACTTAGGACACGTCTGGCTTTCTGACCTAGATAACTCTAGCCTTGAGCGGCGCTTTTACAAAGCCCCACTGGATTAAGAAACAACTAACTAGAACTGAACCTAGTGTTTAAACCAACAACTCGTACAACAGATTACATGCCGGCGAGTCCCCACTTTTGTAACGGACACCAATCTATCAGCCAGATAGTTGGCGAACGCTCCCGGATTCGTTTAACTGATTATGCACAGATGGCGACAAGCCTAAATAAAAGAAAGTTAACACACTAGTTCGCTAGGACTCGTAATTGATGTCTAGGGGAAACACTAGAGAAACTACTGATGCCAACAATACATTTAATCTGCATATAACTTGTATGAGTGTACAAAGTCGTGGCAGAACACTAGATTTATACAGGAATAGAATAGATTTACAGAATGAACAAAACCCAACTTACAATTCGTGGGAAAAAATAATATGATACACTATCACAGCTTTTAACACTTCAGAAAAACCACCACAGTATACACAACGTTGCTATAAGCATAAAGAATTACTTAACCACAAATAATATAAGAATATGCTACTTAAACAACTTAGTACTAAACGGCAACACACAGGGCTTATGTCTCTCAACGACGTCTGATCAATGAACTGCCTCGAGACATCTGTGCGCAGTCTATTTATAGACTTAGGCAACATGGAAGGTCACCTTCAAATCATAAGGCCATTGGTTGGGGTGGTCATCTGGTCTGAATCAATCAATCATATCTTGATGGAAAATTTCTGAGTCTAAGACTCTCTTAGTAAGACAGCGGAAAAAACCGGTCATTGCACCACAGACCATATATGGTATTATAACAAAATGTAAAAATAAACATTACCAGACCTAAGTAGGTCACAGGCTAAACCACTCGGCTAAACTATTCGGCTAAACCACTCGGCTAAACCACTCGGCTAAGCCATTCGGCTAAACCACTCGGCTAAACCACTCGGCTAAACCACTCGGCTAAACCACTCGGCTAAACCACTCGGCTAAACCACTCGGCTAAACCACTCGGCTAAACCACTCGGCTAAACCACTCGGCTAAACCACTCGGCTAAACCACTCGGCTAAACCACTCGGCTAAACCATTCGGCTAAACCACTCGGCTAAACCACTCGGCTAAACCACTCGGCTAAACCACTCGGCTAAACCACTCGGCTAAACCACTCGGCTAAACCATTCGGCTAAACCACTCGGCTAAACCACTCGGCTAAACCACTCGGCTAAACCACTCGGCTAAACCATTCGGCTAAACCACTCGGCTAAACCACTCGGCTAAACCACTCGGCTAAACCACTCGGCTAAACCACTCGGCTAAACCACTCGGCTAAACCACTCGGCTAAACCACTCGGCTAAACCACTCGGCTAAACCATTCGGCTAAACCACTCGGCTAAACCACTCGGCTAAACCATTCGGCTAAACCACTCGGCTAAACCACTCGGCTAAACCACTCGGCTAAACCACTCGGCTAAACCACTCGGCTAAACCACTCGGCTAAACCATTCGGCTAAACCACTCGGCTAAACCACTCGGCTAAACCACTCGGCTAAACCACTCGGCTAAACCATTCGGCTAAACCATTCGGCTAAACCACTCGGCTAAACCACTCGGCTAAACCACTCGGCTAAACCACTCGGCTAAACCACTCGGCTAAACCACTCGGCTAAACCATTCGGCTAAACCACTCGGCTAAACCACTCGGCTAAACCACTCGGCTAAACCACTCGGCTAAACCATTCGGCTAAACCATTCGGCTAAACCACTCGGCTAAACCACTCGGCTAAACCACTCGGCTAAACCACTCGGCTAAACCATTCGGCTAAACCATTCGGCTAAACCACTCGGCTAAACCACTCGGCTAAACCACTCGGCTAAACCACTCGGCTAAACCACTCGGCTAAACCATTCGGCTAAACCACTCGGCTAAACCACTCGGCTAAACCACTCGGCTAAACCACTCGGCTAAACCACTCGGCTAAACCACTCGGCTAAACCACTCGGCTAAACCACTCGGCTAAACCACCTGCTGAGACCAGGGCCCCATGTCCCGACTAACCTTTCCCCCTGCCCCAACAAATCCTTGCCCCACGCTGTCTCGCAGGTGAGCAGTCGTTGGGGCTTTATTGACTGGAGCCCTTTATCATGAGTTTATATGTCGGCAGCCTACATGACGGGGTCCATTTGTTTCTGGCCCCTTTGACGTAGTCGATTTGATGGGGCTCTTATGTCGGGGCCGTTTTGACGGGGTCGTTTTGTCATTGGCCGTTTTGACACCTCACGTTAATAATCATATCTATATCCCGAGTTGCCATCCCCCACAGTTTTATAGAAAAATATTCGAGAAAGTTTAGGGGAGATCACTCTCGTTTTATTTGGTAAATATTTTAGTACAGTAACTTCGTTCTGGCTGATCTGCCCTTATCAAAGCTAATGTTCCGCTACCAGTTTCAGTACAGGGGACATTAGTCGTAATAATTTATGTGTATTACTCAGTTAATTCCCTTAGGTTAGGGTTTTTGTAAAACGTTCTCAAAACAACTATACAGCATTCCCAAAACAAACAAAAAACATTCCCGAAACATACAACATTCCCAAAACAAACATACAACCAGTAGTTAAATTATTGAATTACCTCACCAGTAGTTAAATTATTGAATTACCTCACCAGTAGTTAATTGATTGATTTACCTCACCAGTACTTAAATTATTGAATTACCTCACCAGTAGTTAAATAATTGATTTACCTTGTTTCTTATCGGCAGGTGACATTAGAAAAGTTAAATAATTGATTTACCTTGTTTCTTATCGGCAGGTGACATTAGAAAAGTTAAATAATTGATTTACCTTGTTTCTTATCGGCAGGTGACATTAGAAAAGTTAAATAATTGATTTACCTTGTTTCTTATCGGCAGGTGACATTAGAAAAGTTAAATAATTGATTTACATTGTTTCTTATCGGCAGGTGACATTAGAAAAGTTAAATAATTGATTTACATTGTTTCTTATCGGCAGGTGACATTAGAAAAGTTAAATAATTGATTTACCTTGTTTCTTATCGGCAGGTGACATTAGAAAAGTTAAATAATTGATTTACCTTGTTTCTTATCGGCAGGTGACATTAGAAAAGTTAAATAATTGATTTACCTTGTTTCTTATCGGCAGGTGACATTAGAAAAGTTAAATAATTGATTTACCTTGTTTCTTATCGGCAGGTGACATTAGAAAAGTTAAATAATTGATTTACCTTTTTTCTTATCGGCAGGTGACATTAGAAAAGTTAAATAATTGATTTACCTTGTTTCTTATCGGCAGGTGACATTAGAAAAGATAAGGTGACGCTGGAATCAAGCCAAACCAAACATGTTATGTGATCCACACATCCACCCACACATCCACCCACACATCCACCCACACATACACCCACACATCCACCTACACATCCACCCACACATACACCCACACATACACCCACACATCCACCCACCCACACATCCACCCACACATCCACCTACACATACACATCCATTAACACATTAATCCATCAACCTACACACTCAACCACTGATCCCTACCCCAAAACAAACATACAACTAGTATTGCAACATTCCCAAAACAAACATACAACTAGTATCGAAACATTCCCAAAACAAACATACAACTAGTATTGCAAAATTCACAAAATAAACATACAACTAGTATTGCAACATTCCCCATCTGTATGCCCTCCTTCACTTCGTGACTGATTCACCGGATTGCCTAATGACGAAATGCATCCTGTCTGCCTAATGATGTAATGCCTCCTGTCTGCCTAATGACGAAATAAAATGGAGGGGGTGTCTTCAGCTCATCAAACTTTTATACAAACCAATTGTAAATAAATTTTACTAGATATGCGCGTACACTGTTTCCTGTCCAAATTTTCTTGTGAAATCAAAATAAATAGAATTGGTGTTCGTTGGCTCTGTTCTAATCTGTACTTGCTGGCTACACCAAAGGTAGACTTAGTGGCTACATGGGTAGACTTAGTGGCTACATGGGTAGACTTATAGGCTACATGGGTAGACTAGTGGCTACATGGGTAGACTTATAGGCTACATGGGTAGACTTAGTGGCTACATGGGTAGACTTATAGGCTACATGGGTAGACTTAGTGGCTACATGGGTAGACTTATAGGCTACATGGGTAGACTTATAGGCTACATGGGTAGACTAGTGGCTACATGGGTAGACTTAGTGGTTACATGGGTAGACTTAGTGGCTACATGGGTAGACTTATAGGCTACATGGGTAGACTTATAGGCTACATGGTAGACTAGTGGCTACATGGGTAGACTTATAGGCTACATGGGTAAACTTATAGGCTACATGGGTAGACTAGTGGCTACATGGGTAGACTTAGTGGCTACATGGGTAGACTTAGTGGCTACATGGGTAGACTTAGTGGCTACATGGGTAGACTTATAGGCTACATGGTAGACTAGTGGCTACATGGGTAGACTTATAGGCTACATGGTAGACTAGTGGCTACATGGGTAGACTTATAGGCTACATGGTAGACTAGTGGCTACATGGGTAGAATTAAAGGCTACATGGGTAAACTTATAGGCTACATGGGTAGACTAGTGGCTACATGGGTAGACTTAGTGGCTACATGGGTAGACTTAGTGGCTACATAGGTAGACTTATAGGCTACATGGGTAGACTTAGTGGCTACATGGGTAGACTTATAGGCTACATGGGTAGACTTAGTGGCTACATGGGTTGACTTATAGGCTACATGGGTAGACTTATAGGCTACATGGGTAGACTTAGTGGCTACATGGGTAGACTAGTGGCTACATGGGTAGACTTATAGGCTACATGGTAGACTAGTGGCTACATGGGTAGACTTATAGGCTACATGGGTAGACTAGTGGCTACATGGGTAGACTTAGTGGCTACATGGGTAGACTTAGTGGCTACATGGGTAGACTTATAGGCTACATGGGTAGACTTATAGGCTACATGGTAGACTAGTGGCTACATGGGTAGACTTATAGGCTACATGGTAGACTAGTGGCTACATGGGTAGACTTATAGGCTACATGGGTAGACTAGTGGCTACATGGGTAGACTTAGTGGCTACATGGGTAGACTTAGTGGCTACATGGGTAGACTTATAGGCTACATGGGTAGACTTATAGGCTACATGGTAGACTAGTGGCTACATGGGTAGACTTATAGGCTACATGGGTAAACTTATAGGCTACATGGGTAGACTAGTGGCTACATGGGTAGACTTAGTGGCTACATGGGTAGACTTAGTGGCTACATGGGTAGACTTATAGGCTACATGGTAGACTAGTGGCTACATGGGTAGACTTATAGGCTACATGGTAGACTAGTGGCTACATGGGTAGACTTATAGGCTACATGGTAGACTAGTGGCTACATGGGTAGACTTATAGGCTACATGGGTAAACTTATAGGCTACATGGGTAGACTAGTGGCTACATGGGTAGACTTAGTGGCTACATGGGTAGACTTAGTGGCTACATGGGTAGACTTAGTGGCTACATGGGTAGACTTATAGGCTACATGGGTAGACTTAGTGGCTACATGGGTAGACTTATAGGCTACATGGGTAGACTTATAGGCTACATGGGTAGACTTAGTGGCTACATGGGTAGACTAGTGGCTACATGGGTAGACTTATAGGCTACATGGGTAGACTTAGTGGCTACATGGGTAGACTAGTGGCTACATGGGTAGACTTATAGGCTACATGGGTAGACTTAGTGGCTACATGGGTAGACTTAGTGGCTACATGGGTAGACTTAGTGGCTACATGGGTAGACTTAGTGGCTACATTGGTAGACTTAGTGGCTACATTGGTAGACGTAGTGGCTACATGGGTAGACTTATAGGCTACATGGGTAGACTTAGTGGCTACATGGGTAGACTTAGTGGCTACATGGGTAGACTTATAGGCTACATGGGTAGACTAGTGGCTACATGGGTAGACTTAGTGGCTACATGGGTAGACTTATAGGCTACATGGGTAGACTTATAGGCTACATGGTAGACTAGTGGCTACATGGGTAGACTTATAGGCTACATGGGTAAACTTATAGGCTACATGGGTAGACTAGTGGCTACATGGGTAGACTTATAGGCTACATGGTAGACTAGTGGCTACATGGGTAGACTTATAGGCTACATGGTAGACTAGTGGCTACATGGGTAGACTTATAGGCTACATGGTAGACTAGTGGCTACATGGGTAGACTTATAGGCTACATGGGTAAACTTATAGGCTACATGGGTAGACTAGTGGCTACATGGGTAGACTTAGTGGCTACATGGGTAGACTTAATGGCTACATGGGTAGACTTATACGCTACATGGGTAGACTCAGTGGCTACATGGGTAGACTTATAGGCTACATGGGTAGACTTAGTGGCTACATGGGTAGACTTATAGGCTACATGGGTAGACTTAGTGGCTACATGGGTAGACTAGTGGCTACATGGGTAGACTTATAGGCTACATGGGTAGACTTAGTGGCTACATGGGTAGACTAGTGGCTACATGGGTAGACTTATAGGCTACATGGGTAGACTTAGTGGCTACATGGGTAGACTTAGTGGCTACATGGGTAGACTTAGTGGCTACATGGGTAGACTTAGTGGCTACATTGGTAGCCTTAGTGGCTACATTGGTAGACGTAGTGGCTACATGGGTAGACTTATAGGCTACATGGGTAGACTTAGTGGCTACATGGGTAGACTTAGTGGCTACATGGGTAGACTTATAGGCTACATGGGTAGACTAGTGGCTACATGGGTAGACTTAGTGGCTACATGGGTAGACTTATAGGCTACATGGGTAGACTTATAGGCTACATGGTAGACTAGTGGCTACATGGGTAGACTTATAGGCTACATGGGTAAACTTATAGGCTACATGGGTAGACTAGTGGCTACATGGGTAGACTTAGTGGCTACATGGGTAGACTTAGTGGCTACATGGGTAGACTTATAGGCTACATGGTAGACTAGTGGCTACATGGGTAGACTTATAGGCTACATGGTAGACTAGTGGCTACATGGGTAGACTTATAGGCTACATGGGTAAACTTATAGGCTACATGGGTAGACTAGTGGCTTCATGGGTAGACTTAGTGGCTACATGGGTAGACTTATACGCTACATGGGTAGACTCAGTGGCTACATGGGTAGACTTATAGGCTACATGGGTAGACTTAGTGGCTACATGGGTAGACTTATAGGCTACATGGGTAGACTTATAGGCTACATGGTAGACTAGTGGCTACATGGGTAGACTTATAGGCTACATGGGTAAACTTATAGGCTACATGGGTAGACTAGTGGCTACATGGGTAGACTTAGTGGCTACATGGGTAGACTTATAGGCTACATGGGTAGACTTATAGGCTACATGGTAGACTAGTGGCTACATGGGTAGACCTATAGGCTACATGGTAGACTAGTGGCTACATGGGTAGACTTATAGGCTACATGGTAGACTATTGGCTACATGGGTAGACTTATAGGCTACATGGGTAGACTTATAGGCTACATGGGTAGACTTAGTGGCTACATGGGTAGACTTAGTGGCTACATGGGTAGACTTATAGGCTACATGGGTAGACTAGTGGCTACATGGGTAGACTTAGTGGCTACATGGGTAGACTTAGTGGCTACATAGGTAGACTTAGTGGCTACATGGGTAGACTTATAGGCTACATGGGTAGACTTAGTGGCTACATGGGTAGACTTAGTGGCTACATGGGTAGACTAGTGGCTACATGGGTAGACTTACTGGCTACATGGGTAGACTTAGTGGCTACATGGTAGTGGCTACATGGGTAGACTTAGTGGCTACATGGGTAAACAAGTGGCTACATGGGTAGACTAGTGGCTACATGGGTAGACTTATAGGCTACATGGGTAGACTTAGTGGCTACATGGGTAGACTTATAGGCTACATGGGTAGACAAGTGGCTACATGGGTAGACAAGTGGCTACATGGGTAGACAAGTGGCTACACGGGTAGACTTATAGGCTACATGGGTAGACTTAGTGGCTACATGGGTAGACTTGAGACTACGGTGAATGGAAAAAAAGTCACAGGAAAAAAAACACAGAAAAAAAGTTTTTGCTAGGAAAAAAAGTCAAAGAAATAAAGTCACAGAAGAAAAGTCACAGAAATCTTTTAAGAAATATTGTGATTTAATTGTTGAGAATTTTAAAATTGCTGATGTTTATTGATGTGGGTTGTTTTTGTTTTGGTAGCATAGGGGTCATCCATAAATGACGTCAAGCTTTTTTTGACGATTTTTACCTCCCCCCACTCCCCTCCGTCACACGTCGTCACAAAAAGCCAGACACCCCCCCAAAATGACGTCACACCTCAACCTACAACCCCCCCCCCCCCCCCTCAAAATTGCGGTTGAATTTTTTTAAAACATCGATATTTTTCCAAAATCTTGTCTAAACTATTACAATTTATTAAAACAGTTATATAAAACGAGAAATAACGTCTAAAATTCGTTTTCTAACATTGCTTTTTTATAGTGCAAAAATGTGACGTCGCAACATCTGAACTCCCACTCCCCCTCATCACACATCGTCACAAAATTACGGACCCCCCTCCCCTCCCCCCTACGAGTGTGACGTCATTTAAGGATGACCCCCATATTAATAAACGTTAAAAGCATTAGGATCTTATAGCAATAATACGTAAAATAATATGCTGTAATTTACACAGTAGCCTCAACTTTCGTTACGTGTTTAGTTAAATACGCGGTAAAAAATTAATTACATGAGAAATTATGGTACATCATTGTGCTTTGTATATTTGTTTTTGCCGTTGGCCATTCCTTGGTCAGCTTCTCAGTCGG